GAGAGATAAGACCATACATTACAACTCTAATTTCTGACAAGTATGACAGTTGATAAATTGCTGACTTTAGAGGTTAGCTTCCCTACATATGAAACCCCTGATATCTAGAATAAAGAACTGTCACTAAAAATGCTTGTTAGAAGAATGCATTTGCTTTAGCTTATTGATATGTTCCATTTTGCTGGTTTCGTTTTTTTAAAAAGACATCGCACATGCATTTCACCGTGCTATTATATAACTGACAATAAATTACAAATTTGAAGTTAGCAAATCTATGGCTTTGCAGATTGGAAATTTACAGAAACTGACAAGCTAGTAAAAACCCATATTGATATTAAGAAGTACAGCAGTCTTAAACCAAGAGAGACATGAATATTTGTGCTGCCATTTAAATTAGCAGATTTGTTTAAAAAAAAAAACACAAAACAAACAACAAACAACAACACACGAAGAACAACAACAAAAGCACACCATAAACCACTGGCACAGCAATTTCATAGCTCAGAACTAAAACAACCCACAATAAATCTGATGTGCCTAAACAAGAGAAACCAATGAAAATGCATTTTTGCTCTTATTTTTTAACTTGTTGCTTCAAATGCTTTAGCTTAAAATGTTGCCATCCAAGTACCTTTTATAAAAAGTACAGGGTATGAAAACATAGAAATCTCTAACTTTCATTGTTCACTAACTTTATACGAAGTCTACCTTTCTTCCCCCACCAACCTCAGAAATTGCTATTTGGAAAGTGTATTTTCTAAAGATTTTTCAAATGTTCTCTGGTTTTCCTTCACTGCTTTTATCTTAATTTCCTCACTGCCTCCTCTCCTTTATGCACATATTTTCTTTTCTTCGCTTAGATTTTTCATTTCAAAAGAACAAATTAATATTTGACACTGCAGACTAAATATCTCAGTAAATACCAGGGAAGTTACACCTCTGCTCATGGAAAGGGATATATAACTGTACAGTTAATGTTTTTTTACTTCCATTAGAAGTTTTCTTCATGCTCAACAATGACTCTGTAGTTTGAAAAAAGTTTGTCACATTTAAATTAAATCTGGACATGCCTGTGTCAACTATGCAAATAAAAAATTGTATTTAGGCTTCCACAGATTTCATGGTTGAGGGAAACTGAAGTTATTTAATGTAACAGAAAACATGTGTTAGAAATTACTTATCTCCTGAAGTAACAGGATTCTTAAATTCATTGGTCTGCTCTTTACAAGCTTTCTTCTTCAGTATAAATTTCCAAGCTTAAAAGTCTTGACCTCATAATACCTTATGTGAAAGCACAAAGCAAGATGATTTTATATTTTTGATACATATATTATTTAATTATTTATTTTTAACAAACAGCAGTGTACTTTAGAATTTGTAAAATATGAAGTCTGACACTGTCATGGAAACTGCTTTTGAAAAATTAAGATTAAAACATTTATAGGGATTCAATGAAGCAAACCATTTTCATGAAAATATATTGAATTTCATTAAAATGCTATTGTGACAACAACTTTGAATGACTTTCTAATTAAAACTAATTGGTGGAGGAAAGCTGTAAGATATTTGCCAGGTACAATGCAGTCAGTTAGCCTATGGTTCTAGCACTTAGAGTACCTCAACTAAGGGCTACAAAGAATCAGTATTTTATTTTCTTTTTTATGAATCAATATTTAATTTCACCTATGTTTTAAGCTAAAAAGCAAAATTATTCTGAGATTTAACTTGACTTGTGTCTCAAAATTATTACACATTCTAGAGCATGTGTTGTCCATAGATCTATTTTGCAAGATTATCTGAAAAACTCTGTTTTGCTCTTCATTCTCATAGCCAGTGTAGATTTATTGTTTTTGTGAGTTTTTCTAATCTCACAAAAATGTATAGTACCACACTAATATTTCTGGTCAGGCCTAGTTGTATTTCTCTATAACATTATGGTTAAAAAAAAATAAAAATATTTTTGGGTTTGACAATTCTTGACTACAATATTTAAGAGACATACAATGGGGTCAAAAAGAATTTCTTCTGCTTATGTAGGGTAGATACCTTTGCAGATGCAAAGAGCAAGATGAAATATAATTTAAGTCATTACACTCACTTTTTCTTTCCTTTTTGGAAATGTGTACCTACTCTATTTAGCTGTGTTATTTGTTACTCTACTGAAAAATTGTTATAATGATTAGCATTCTAGAACTGGCTATTCAGGTAGCCAGCTATTCCCTATTCACTGAACTGACATTAAAATACTCTGGCACTACAGTGCTAAATATCCGTGAAGAAACTCAGTATTTTTAAAAATATGAAAAAGTGTAGAAAGAAATCATAGTATTATTTCACTCTTCAAAAGTCATTAGAGTTCTCTCAAGTGCTGTCAAAACTTCCCACGCCCCAAGTTTTCTCCCAGTAAGTGCTTTTCATATATCAGAGAGGTTAATTTTCTAACAGTTCCGCTGTTTTTATGATAAATACTTTAAGTAAATATTTAAGACAATAAGCTACTGAAAATTCAGTTAATCTGTTTTACATTTCACATTTTCATGGAGAAAAATTATTTTTCTTTAGAATGCAGAAAAGTCCAAACTTTGAAAGCTGCATTCACTAATCTGTTATTCTGCCTTTATATCAGAAAATTCTTAAACTATTTATTTTCTATAACTTTCAAAGAATGGTATTTTTTTACAAGCAATTGACCACACAATGCCACAGTTAAGTGAGTACTATTATTTCCTATTCACAGCAAACAAGCTTTTGCAATGACACCTTGGAAGAGGATTCACAGAGCCAGTATTTGAGACACATCACTTGTAACTCTTAAAGAAAGCACACTGAAAAGCTTTAAAGAAAGGGCCTGGAAGTTCTCTTGAAAGCATAAGAACTTTTTAAAAACAAGGATTTCCCCATCCTTTCTTTAAAGAGGGCTTCCCCTCAAATCCTCTGCATAAGACAGGAGTTTGTTAACAAAAGGTTGCCCTACTTCGTGTTTGCTCTGACCACAGTCCATACTATTTCCCTCCAGTCTGAAGGAAAAAAAATAACTCTTTCTGTCACCTTGGAGATTTCACATTTGCTATTTGCTCTGCTCATCACTTTCCTATCCTTTCCTCACATTACAAGGCCTCTGTTTGGTTCCTCTATCACACTCTCCAGGGTATCTTCCCTGCACTGTAGCAGTTTTTCCCAGTTATGCATGCATGTAGAAGAATCACTTTTCTCTTACGTAGATTCCCTCTGATTGAGGGTGTTGTGGTCAAGACAGGCAACACAAAACAATAAATCTAATAGATGTGAGCTGTCTCACACCTAAATGCAGTAACACAATGGCTATGAAAATATCATGTACTGTGAAGTTTAACTTTTAGGATTATGTTTCCACTAGGTCAGAAGTTTAATCATGTACAGAAAAAATATTGTAATTGCATAACTGAATAGAAGTGATTATTTGTCTTTCTAGCGACGAAAAAGTGTGTCTATTGTGCATGCTTGCAAACGTAATTGTAGTTACATCAGAGCTTGCTTATTAATTACAACTGACTTCCTTTTTGATCTACCATCTTTTGTTGGTGATTTTCCCATTATGCATAAGTCAGATTTTAGACTTGATCATTAAAAATAATAATAGATAATATAAAATACCAAATAACTTGGAAATGGACACAGATCTTTTTTGCACTTTGTGATACATCAGATATGTATCAGTCACAAGTCTTCAAATGTACTATAATAATTTAATTTAAAAAAAAAATATTTAAATAAATTGTTTTAAAGCATCACAAGAATTTTTTTAAGTCCAGGTTTTTCTCTAGTAGGGTTTTAACATTTTTTAAATTTTCATTATACTGCTTGTCAAAAAAAAAAAAAAAAAAAAGGTGAAAATATCAAAGTAATATATAAATCTAAAACATATATTGACAAAAATGTTGAAATTTTTCAATCCATAACTGTTCAATGCTAATGCAATCTCATTCTAAGGTAGATGAGATTAATTCTGCTTTGACATCTTATTTCTCTCCACTGAGAATGAAGTGACTAGCTTGGACCTGGAAAGCTTGGACCTGACTAGCTTGGACCTGGAAAACTACATTTTACATTCTAAACACAGACAAAATTAAAATCAGCCACAGAACTAGTTAAAACAGATATCACTACCTGAGCTGTATTGGTAAGAAAAACACAGTTAAACCCATTAATTAAAACATGGTATAAGTTACAGAAAAGAATAAATAAAATAAGGACATACTGCCAGATAAGCAAAGCACATTCATTGACAACTGCTCTATTACTTCAATAATAATTTCAGTAAAGACCTTACGGGACCATTATTTTTCTGAAATTATATGTAAGCTACTCTTTATGCAAGTTTAATTTCATGAGCCAGATGTTTTTAATTTTCTCAGAATCATACGGCTACCAACTTGACTTAGTTTCTGATTAAGTATCATATTTTTGCTTCATTGATTCTGATTTTTGTATTAATGCCATACCTGTTCTGTCAGATGTAACTGAAAAAATTTAAAATATTGACAAATAAAATTCTTTATGTCTTCAACCTTCTGTCTTAATCTACTTCACAGATGAATAAAAGGAGGGATAATTCTTGGCCTGAAAAAAACCCAAAACTTCCCTTGATATTTTTCCCATGTAGCACAATGTTAATTACAAAGCATCCCTAAATCTAACCAAAAAGGAACAGTGATTAAATAGTACTCTAAGGACTTACAGATACCTTTTAAAGTTATCACCTGTATGTGAACACGCATCTAATTAAGGCATATACTGTTCTGATCCAGCAAACAGTGCATTCATCATAGCAGGCCAATTATTGTAACTTCACTGAAGTTGAGAGGAATCACCATTCCTATGGTTTGAAACGTGGTACTTATGAAATAAAGTTCCATATAAGTACAGAACTCTTTCAAGCCAAAAAAACTAAGATAGTCTTACTTACAGAAGATAGAATGGATTCACAAGATCATAATTCAGATATTCTAGAACTGCCTTACCATGGTGTAGTTGTGAGCCACCTTCATAAGCTCCGTGCATCCTTGTGCATCAGCAAATGCTCGTATTCCCAAACAGTTGGATGGGTGCAAAAGCTTCATTAGAAAATGGCAGCAAACCTCTACTACTTGTGGCAGCTGGAGGAGGCAGGCAGCTGCTAGAAGATTTTCAATGGTATCTTCTTTCAATTCCAGGCAGCCTAAAAAAAGTTTTGATAACACATGTAAACTTATTTACTTGGTATTTACAAGCAGTATCAAAAGATCTTTTATAAATAACACTAGCTCTCTATAAAAAACTACATAGAAAAAGTAAAGAGAATTAGCCTCTCTGACTGGACTCTTCAGTGATCTGAAGGTTACAGTATTAGAAACCTTCATTTTAAAGCTACCATTAATTCAGCTATATAATAGGGATAGAATGAGACTTTAAAGTGTGGAAAGAAAGAGAAGACTTAGGAATACTGTTTTTCTTGCTATAATGACACTAAAATCTGATTATCTATCTGGATATCAACCAGGCTGTGATTTTTTTATTTTTTTTTTTTAACTAAAATTGATGATAAAACTTGCATTATCTTCTGAGGTACAGAGCAAAACTCACAGCCATTTACCTCCCTGAAAACAATGAAATAACACTGTACAACATAGCATGAATAAAGCCATAAAAATATCTTCAAAATCGAGTTTACAATCTTCCAACCTTGTAATGCTTATTTGTAAAGTGATTGAGAAATCAGCTTTATCTGAGTAACATATGGCAGGCCTCCCATAATATTTAATTCTTCTAAAAGACTTCATATTAGCTACAAGAACATATATGGATACATAGCGTATATATTCCATTAATTCTTATATTGCACTTAAATTTGTAATTTCACAAGTCATTATCTTTACCTTGCAGACTGATGCAGTTTTAATAAATAAAAGGTAAAACAGAATAAAATAAACTTAAGAAATAATTTATTTTAGTGAGGAATAAGTGTCATTCTTGTCATCATGCTCCCCCTTCACCATAATTTTCAATGTTTTTATTTACATTAGTATCCGTTATAAATCTCTTACATTAATAACTTAAGAAACTATAAATTAGAGATCACAAGTATGTCTCGAGAAGTGAAAGAAAAGAATAGGAAATTAATACTGGAAATAATATAAATTGTAAGAAACTAACACTTCTGATTTTATTTTGCTGTGCTTAGAAAAATAATTTCAAACTATAAGAGGATTAGATGTATATCGATCTTTCTGTTCAAAGTAATATAGTTCAACAGTTAGGTAAACTCACTCTTTTCCCAAGACAAATTTTGTATTTGTTGTCACATTAAGAGAAATCTACGAATCTTAATAGTTCTATCACGTGGCACTGGGGAGTTCTAAAATCTTCAGCTTCACAACGGAATGCCACTGAAAAGAAAAGCTGCTTTATATTGCAATACCAAACCCAAAATACAATAACTGTAACACTGACGATCTGGCCTTTTCTCCTTCTCCTTTTCTTTCACTATATCTGGAGCTTTTAATATAAGATAGAAATTTGGAAGTTGTACTTTACTAGATTTAACTATAATATATCCTTTTGCAAAGGTTAGAGCATCAGATCAAGTACACAGTAGAACTTCTCTGCTTATTTTTATGCTTCTATTAATGTCACATGAGTCTCTCTTTATTTTATCTGACTTTTTGTCATCATTTCTGTCCCGCACATATTTATTCAATGTGGTCAGAAAGCACACTCAGCAGTTGATTCTTGGCTGACCCATATATTTATCAATGTCACTCCTGCATTTGCTGCACACTTGCAGGTAGGAGCTGGCTCAACACACTATTCATTATCTAGAATATAGTTTCACTGTGTCATGTGGACAATATCAAAAGATAGTTGTTTTCAGGTTAAAACTGATCAGGAAGAAAAATGAAAATGTGCAAAGGAGATCTGAAAAGTAGATGAACTGAGAAATGTGCTGATGGGAACAAAATTAGAAAATGAGTTTTACATCTCCTTTTCTTATGTGCTATTTGTTTTTCAACAACGAGCTCAAAGAAGAATCTGGCCCTACAAAGCTGATCCAGATAACCTTTTCAGAATGACCTAAGGACTGAAAGAATTAGCAGCCTTTACGGAGAAAAGTAACAGTGTCACAGTTTGGCTTTGTATCACTAAATATACCCTCAGGAGAAGAACACAAAGGAAACAGTTGAAGCCACATCAATCTACTTATTTTCAGATTGAAAATATTTTCTGTTAACTTTAAGGAAACCTAGTACTAGTAGTGTACAGGTTTGGAACTAGTAGGACTAAAATATATTAAAATTATCTGGTTTAAAAATTACATATTTGTTTATGTAACCACATGACCATTTTGAAGGAGATCCTTCACATTTTTATGGAAGAGTGTGAATGGGTATTTGCCTTATGTATTAATCAAGGGACTAAACATACAATGGCTTCTGGGGTATCTGGGGATATGAATATATTATAGCTTGACTTATTTTTAACTAAATTCAGAATCACCAATTTACTACTTAATATATGTAGGATAAGAGCTAAAAAATTACACTCAGCTTGAGTTAAAGAGGAGTTTACTGTGCTGCTTTCTTTCAGTACTTTTTTTTTTTTTTTTTTTTCTGCACAAACATGATAAGAAGTAAGACAGGGCTCTCCAGGATCCTGTTTGAACAAAGTATTAACTTCAATGATAGGTGAGTATCTATCTAATCTATCTAAATGCTTTTCACATCTTACTTATGTTCATTTTTAAACATTAAGACACCTTCATAAATCTGATCACAAGGGCTGTACTCATTTCCTCAGAAGGGCGCGACAACGTTTTTATGCAAATTCCTCTGGGATATCAAGTGTTTAGCATGGTCAAAGTTGAAAAAAAAAAGCTCTTAAGAGGCTCAGTCTATACAATGTCAACTCTGTTATATGTAAAAGCCGTATATGACAGTTTCATATTGACAACTAGCAGATCCAAACATCTATTTAAAAACGCTAAACAGTGTATTCAAGGGGGCTTTAATATTACTCCTTCAATTCACTTCCTCCTTACATTTTTATGCAATAAGGAGTTTGCATATGCAAGTGCTTTATGTAATAAGTACCTCAGTCTGAGCAAAACAAATTAACCAAAGCTTAAAATCTCATTTTGTATTACATTAATTAGGATGAAAGAATATATGAAAAAAAAAACAATCAAAAGATCTTTAATGAATTCTAATTGTTATCCTAAATTACAGTTCTATTTGTGACAAATTTTATGTGCATTGCTTATGCAGAAATTAAAAAGCCTGTCTTTAGGATGCAACCTTGTAATGAATATATAAATTTTATTACCTCATTACCAAATCTGAAGCAGAGATAATATAATAAGAAAAAAAATCCCTGATAGCTTTTTTTTTTTTTTTTCCTAAATTTTTTTTCAAGTTAAAAGACTGGTTTAGGATTTTGTTTAATTTTATATTTTATTTTTATTCTTTCTTCTACTCCTTATGATACACAGTTACAATTAATTTTTTTGGATGAGGAATCACTGCATCTTTGACCACCTTTGCATGTTAATAAGGTCAGTGTGTGTCACAGGAATCAAGTCTCCCACAACTACTGACTAGTAAGTATCAATACAAATACGGTGGGAACACTTAGTAGGTACTGCTCACTTGCTCTGTACATAAGCAACAAATTTTAACCAAGATCTGTAACACATGAAATATCATTTTGCCTCATGTGCACGGTATTTTTTTTCTCTCTTCTAATTATATATTTGTCCATTCATAGTAAAACTCTTCAACATTCTGAAGACAGCTGTGAGTAAGGGTACACCAGTGATGTCATGGGAAGTGTCAAGGATTTACAAACAAAGGCTAGAACTAATTCCTTTTACTTAGGTATTTAACTTTTTAACATTTCTAATTCATGTGTCTTGATCAGTTGTGTTGATGTTTTGAAGCATCTCTGAATAGAATTATTTCAATAGGCTAACTGGTCATAGGAATGCAGCTTCTCTATTAGGTCTCCATTTTTTAAAATAAAGGCAGTAAATGGTATCAAGATAATATTTATTCAGATTTTGTACAGTATATGAATTGCTTACAGTTATGATTATAAGAAGATACTGTTTTTTTGAAACATCATCAAATTCCAGTGAAGACTAGAAAAAGCTTATAAAAGAGGTGCTATGCTTCAGTATTTGTATAACAGACTTTTTGGCATTTGCTTATCATTAATTTTACCAAATCTTAGGAATCTGCTAGGTAGCCCCCTGAGCTAATCATCTGAGATCTCCTTTTACAGTCAGTGGAGAGAAATATGAAGTGTTAGAGCAGTTTTCATCTGTCCTGTTTTATTCATCTGCTTTAGAATTAGATTAATCACTCCCTAAGTGGCTATTTCTTGCTTTCAACTATAGAAGAGTACCTTCATTTGACTTACTGAGACACTTGTTATTTATATTTGCTGGTATGAATTCAGTTCATCTGCTCCCAAACAAACAGCACTGGAATCATCAGGTATCACGTGATGAAGTACCTGGAAATGGTTTATACCCTTTAAATACTCTTTGGGTCCAATTCTTTGGGTCCAGTTCTCTCTGTTACTGTCAACTCCTAGTAATGACATAATTTGTAGTAATAACCTCTTACATTTATCCATCCATCCATGAATACCAGCCAATGAAGAACAAAATAACAAGTATATTCCCTGCAGCAGAACATCTTTTAATGTCCAACTGATTTTTGAAGTGAATGTTAAGGTTTTGATTTTGACCTACGTATTAAAAGATAAATTCTACATTGTATAATCTTGCACACTTTTCATAAAGGTGAAGTTGTTTTCAGAAAAGAAAACATGTCAGAGTATATTCACTTTGGTTTCTCCTGATCAAACTCTTCCTTATTCTCAATTAATTATTTGCTGCAGACCATGGCCATCAGTTGAAAGTGAGGAAAACAGGCACTCTGTGGCTGATTTTGTTTATTTCCTTATGGCACCAGTGAAAATTCAGAAAGACTGCTCTTTTTTTTAATTATTTTTATTATTATTATTATTTTTCAAATAAACAAATAAATACTACCCCAAAAGGTAGTAGTCTCCTGCACAAACAGATAGTGTAGTTTAAATTGGGGAAAAAAAAAGAACTGTCCATTCCCTACTGTCAGACTATTCATCTTACACAGGAGCAGTCAAAACATAAGCCAA